ACACACACACAGACACACACACACACACACACACACACAGACTCACAACTCTGAACTGTTGGAGGGAAACTGGACCAGTCTTTTGTGTATTTGTTGTCCTTTTTCTGAGAGTTTGGTTCATTTCTTAATGGTCTCATTGTGATTTTTGTGGTTGTTTTGTGTCTCTTTTTGCTTGTTTGTGTCTCTCTGTGGTTATTTGGTGTTTCCATAAGTGTTTTGCATCTCTGTGATCACTTTGTTTCCCTATGTGGTTGTTTTGTGTCTCTTTGTGATTGTTTTGTGTCTCTATATTGGTTTGCATCCATTTTTGCTTGTTTTGTGTTTCTTTGTGGTTATTTTGTGTCTTTTTGTTATTGATTGATGCCTGTGGTTGTTTTGTGTCTCTGTGGTTGTTTTGTGTCTTTTTGTGGTTGTTTTGTGTCTCTTTGTGGTTGTTTTGTGTGTCTTTGTGGTGTTTTTAGTCTCTTTGTGGTTGTTTTGTGTGTCTTTGAGGTTATTTTGTGTCTCTTTGTTATTGATTGATGTCTCTTTGTGGTTGTTTTGTGTCTCTTTGTGGTTGTTTTGTCTCTTTTTGGTTATTTTTTGTCTCTTTGTTATTGTTTTTTGTGTTTTTGTGGTTGTTTTTAGTCTCTTTGTGGTTATTTTGTGTCTCTTTGTGGATGTTTAGTGTCTCTATAATGGAAAAACACTAGTTTAGTTCAGATAGATTTCCCACACACATCACCGCTCCTCTTCAGGAACGTCTGCCGTCTTCTGTTAAACTTCCATTCGATCTAAACTCAACTGTTGTGACCCGTTTGTGCGTTTGTTGTGACCCGTTTGTGCGTAGCTGAGCGCGTGAGCATGAGGGGCGTGGCCAACCTGACGCAGGTCCTGGACAACTGGAGGTTCGACATCCTGAGCCAGATGAAGGGCCTCCTGCAGAACGACCACCAGTCCCTGCTGCCCGACTACGCCCGGTACGGGGACCCAAACAGACCAATTAATCAATTAATCAATTAATTAATCAATTAACTAATCAATTAATCAATTCCTCAAAACACCACAAAACAACCACAAAGACACACAAAACAACCACAAAGAGACACAGCTACATCTAAACATTTCCTCTCCTGGAGCTGTGAGGAAGACGGCTCTTCCTCTTCATCATCCTGGTCTCCAGATTATCAATTAATTAATCAATTAATTAATCAATAACCTGGAGACCAGGATGATGAAGAAGAGGAGCCGTCTTCCTCACAGCTCCAGGAGAGAAAATGTTTAGATGTAACAGGATGAAGTAAATAAAAATAAAACATAGATATAAGAAATAATTCCATGCAGTAATAGAGTGATACAGTTATAAATAGATAAAAATAGATCAATAAAATGCAATGAATAATAATATCAATAATTTTAAATAATAAAAAGAAATATAAAATAGCAATTATAAATAAGCAGTTTTGAAACACAACTAACTAACTAACTAACTAACTAACTAACTAACTAACTAACTAACTAACTAACTGACAAACTGACAAACTGACTAAATAAATAAAGAAATAAACACGTGCAAGGAGCCACACAGAAAATGTTAAGATATAACAGTATAAAGTCAATGAATAATAGTTAGAAAAATAGAATTAACAAATAATTCTATGCAATTATAGAATGATACAATAATATAAAATATATATAAATAAATTGCAGTGAAAATCATATAAATGAGCATAATTAAAAAAAATAAAAAAAAATATAACAATTATATAAACACTTATAAACAAACAAAAAACAAACAAATAAATAAAAAAATAAGAAAATAAATAAATAAATAAATAAATAAATAAATAAATAAATAAATAAATAAATAAATAATAATCTACAAGCTCTGGACAGGGCAGAGCTCAGCCCCTGAGCAGTGAACATGGGCCGGGGGTTCTGGTGGAGTTTGTGGAGTTTGTGGAGTAGGTGGAGGCCTTTTTCTGCCCTTCCTGGAGCAGCTCTGTCTCGGCCAATCAGCCGCTGAGCTCCGGACCGCCGCCACAGGAATCTGGGACCGTCTCGGGTTCCTCTGAGGCCAGTGGCGTCAAAACAAACCGCAGCTCAACCTGCAATTTAACCGGCAAACGCTTTCCCAGACGGAGCTTCCCGGGCCAGAGGGGGAGACCAGACCACTTCCCCCCCAAACCCCCAGAGGGGGAGACCAGACCCAAACCCCAAACCCCCCAAACCCCCAAATCCTCCTCCAGAGGAAAACAACTCTCCATCTCAGCAGGAATATCTGAAGGTTTCTGTTCGGTGAAGCTGAGCAGAACAATAAATACACAACGAACCTAAACATAGATTCTAGATCCAACTGAGAGGATCTCAGATAGTGTTTACATGAAACAGAATTTAGTCTTTTTTTTAGACAAATTAGAGATCCAAAACACGTTTCAGTGTTTGAAACATTTATTTCAGGAAAAATAAACAAACATCAAACATACAAACAAACAAACAAACAAACAGACAAACAAATCTATCAGCAAACGCATAAACAAACAAATAATGCATTAACAAATTATAAACACATGTATAAACAAACAAACAAAAACTACATAAACAAATAATAAACACATGTAAAAACAAACAAACAAATAATACATAATCAAATAATAAACACATGTATAAACAAACAAACAAATAATACATAAAC